CAGTGGAGTTCTGTCTTCGCATGTGGACTGTAGATACATAAAGTGGGTTGTGATATCAATTCTCCTCGTAAGGTATCGAAAGCTTGTAATTGTGCAGCTCCAAAATTAAATTTAGCGCCTTTTCTCAAAAGGTTATATAATGGTTTTGCTATTAAAGAATGATTTTTTATAAATCGTCGAAAATAACTAGATAATCCTAAGAACCCGTGTAACTGCTTAATATTTTGTGGTGGTGGATACTTAATTATTGCTTCAATATTTTGTGGACTAGGCTGTATGCCTTTCTCGCTAACCTCGTAACCAAGATATACAATTTCATTTTGTAAGAAAAAACATTTATCAAGACGAAACTCGAGTCTGTAAAGTGCTGCTTGTTTGAAAACTAGGGCCAAAATGTGAAGGTGCTCATCTAATGTTTCTGTGGCAACCAAAATATCATCTATATATAATAGGATTTTGTGTTCTCTAATTAAGGTGTCAAAAATCATACACATAAATCTTTGAAAGACTCGTGGTGAAGTAGTTAATCCAAAAGGTACCCTCAAATATTCAAATTGGCCTAATGGTGTTGTAAAAGATGTGTACGGTACTGATGTCTCGGCGACTCTAACATGGTGGAATCCATTTCTTAAATCCAATGACGTGAATATTTTTTTTCCTTGAAGTTGATCCAATTGGTCATCAATTAAAGGTGTCGGAAAGTTGTCCTTGATGATAATTTTATTAAGTTCGCGATAATCCACACAAAGTCTATAATCACCAGTTTTCTTCCTTACTAGGACAATGGGGCTACTGTATGGCGATAAGCTAGGTCTAATTATACCTTCCTGACATAAGTTGTCTAAAATCTTCTGAAGTTCTATTTTTTCTACATAAGATAATCTTCTAGGCCGAAACGAAATGGGTTGATCGTGTTTTAGGCTGATTTTCATTTCAAAGTTGTGTTCAAGAGACGGTTGTTGAAGGTTATTTACGTAATTACTCTCATAACAGTTATACACAGCTTCTTTGATATTTGAACTTAAAGACGCATTAATGTTTAACTCATCTTTAACCAACTCTGAACTATGAACATAATCAATGTTTAATATTTCTCGAAACTGATTGTCATTCTTTACAATTGAGACTTTAGAACCAAAGGTTACCTTAATATCAGGGTTACTAATAAAATCCCGACCTAAAATTGCACTGTATTGCATGGTCTCATTTGGGACTACATAAAACTTGATTGTAACGGCTATCCCATCAACGAGAACCTCTTTTTCATAAATACCCAGAACTGTTAGAATACTCCTATTTATGCCCGAAAAGTGCTCACTCTGTGAAGCATCTTGTGTATAAAATTTTGGAGGTACATAATTGCTCTTAATTAAACTAATAGGACTACCTGTATCTAGCAATGATCTTAAATTATAACTACAACTAAAGTCAACATCATTCAAATCGAAAATTACCGAACATTCATAGTCATTCACCTTAAGTTCATCATGGAGGACATGAGTGGTGCCTCCCTGGACAGATCTCTTGTGGTCCGGACAATCTGGTCGTTTATGGCCCATTTTGCCACAATGGAAACAGGATCCCCTTTCTCTTCTTGGTTTGGGACAGCTAACTGCTTTATGGCCTTCCTCGCTGCAATTGAAGCATCTCATTGGCGGCATGTTGTCTCGAGTTGAAGTTGTATTCCGGTTCCTAAAATGAGTAGTATTACTATTTTGCGAATTACGGACTACTTCATTGACGTGTGGTACGGACGCTGTACTATTTCCATTTCCGCGATCGCGATCAGTTACATTGTTCATGATTCTTAAAAGTTCATTTAATTGTCTAAAGTCATGCATACGTGCTTGCACCTGTAACACCTGATTATCGAAACCGTCAATTACATATTCAATCATGTCCCGTTCACACAGTTCCAGTTCGTTGCCCAATGTGACCTTGTCATTGAAATACACCGAAAACTTTTCCGATCTTTTCCACCTCCTTGACTCAAATTTCCGCATCAACTGAATGTGGTCCGGTCGACTTTTAAACATATTTTCCATCTCATGTTTTAATGCATTCCATTTTAGATTTATAAAAGATAGCTTAGAATGATACCATTGTAGTGCTTGATCCTTTAATTTTCCAACTGCTACTAACGTCATGATGTCCTCTGGTACCCCATAAGTCCTCATCACCGCATCTACCCGTTGTATCCACGTCTCTACGTTACTTGTTCCATTAAATTCCGGTAGTAAGGCTGCAACTTCTTTATGACTAAATCGAGTACCTGTCATAAACTGTTCTGTCCCTCTCGCCTGTGGCTCCTGCGAAGGTTGATTCCTAGACAGTTCCAATGTTCGTATCGTTGCTTGTATGATGTCTTCGACTGTCATCATTACCCCTTCAGATCCCAACCGTCGATTCTGTCGCTCTTGCTCCTCGTTCACAGATGTATCTGGATCGCCACCGCCTCGTGCCATGTGTACACTTTCATCACCCAACATCCTAAATTTGGCCTTTTATTTTTAACAATCCGGACTTACAATACGTTTTCCACTATCCCACTTCTGATGGCTGTAGTCGTCTTTATTGTCGATTATATATATTTCCACTCCTTTACATAAGTTTACATAAAACATAAAGTCATAAAAGATAAAACCAAAAACCGACTCACCATCCTAACCTAGCTTAAATTCGTAACGTAACTAACTTCACAATGTACAGGGTGTTCTATAATCACCTACATGATGTTGAAATTTTCTCAAGAAATAACTTTCAATATTTTTCTCATTGCTACCAAATGACTAATGTTTTAAGTGCAACTGTCAGGGACCCTGACCCAAATGAAATATCGGTTCCGGTTTTGTTTATATTTAAGCGAAAATATTTATAATGGTTCCGGTCCGATTTCGGTTCTAAAAAAAATGCTTCGGTTCTGCGCATTTTTTTGGGTCCATAACGGTTCTTTTCGGTTCTAGTCTTTTAGTAAGTATGTCATTAAAAAAATTCATTATAAAAACGTAATTTGTTAATTAATAGTGTTAATTCAATAAGTTTCCATTTCTGAAGGAATTAACGGTTTAGGTTCGGTTTTCGGTCTTGAAGAATACCGGTTTCGGTTTTTTTTCGGTCCAGTCCGGGGCCCTGCTTTGGGGCTATATTTTTTGGTGTTAGGTGCATTTATTTAAACATGAACCTAGGTGCCTGGCTCTCAATTTTAACGGGGAAAATCACTGGCGCAAACAAAATCTAATCGTTTGGCCTCTAGGGAGTGTTTCTCGGATTTAGTCGATTTCTTTAATGTTCCATATCTCTTATTATTAAAATAGTTGATTTTGGCAAAATCTTTCTTAAGAGTACTTTTTTATGCAGAATCCATCGCGATACACGGTTATTATACTGGGTGTTTGGTTTTTCTTGTACGACCATAAACTACATTTTTTCATACGGATCACCCACTAGAGCGTAAAATAAATTTCCTATATTTTGATTTTCACTTGTTATTTTTATATTAAATATTATTTGTAACATTGCATTTTATAAATTAAAATATTTTTATTGCAGACATCTAGGTTTCCATGGCGAACAAAAGATGGCAGGATTGTTTAAAACGACAATTTCTTGGTTATTTGGAATTGTTCATTAGTTTCAAAGTAGATAATAAGGGGCCACCATGGGCACCCCCCACTCCTCCTCCTTTAAGCCCCGCCCCCCTGGCTTCCTATTGGTTGGCTTATACCCCGCCCATCTCCCACTCCTTTAATCTGATTGGCTCCCCGCCCTCGTTTGAGAATCCTCGATTCCTATTGGTTCCACCCCCTTCGTTCTCATTGGTCCTGACAAATCCTCGATTCCTATTGGTTCAACCCCCTTCTCCTTTCCTTCGTTCTCAATGGTCCTGACAAATCCTTGATTTCTATTGGATGGATTTCCCACCCGTTCTTCGACGCATCTACCTCCAGTCGCCGTTGCATGGTCTCTCTCGTCCACATGGTTATCGACGACTGTTTCTCAGTTCATATCCAGTCGTTGTGGGGGGGACATGCCACTTTTGGATCTTTCAGAAAAAACCCGTAGAGATCAAGGTTCGAACCTACTCCCCGCACGTACTACCGTCGTAGAGTATCGATATAGCATCTGCGCTACGAAGAACTAATGCAAAATATAGGTATCTCGTCGTTCCATATTCCTGCACTGTGCTGCTGTGGTTGATTAATCGTGGGTATGCTATATAAATTACGTTCTAATTATTTTTAGGCAATAAATGGATAAACAAAAATAAGGCAATCGTGAAATTCGTGTATGTTTTCTGAGGGGTGTTTGAAATCTGCACCGATTTTGAAAGTAATCTTTATTTTCGTTTAGACTTGCGTTGCATAACGTTAAATCACGTGATCACACACCTGCAATAAAATTTCAATTAGCGGAAGACCGTATCAGTATCCATTTGAACATTGAGGCAGTTAGTTCATATTTTTCTTGGTAAAGAAATCTTCGTACTTACGCCTAGTAAAAAATTACAGACCGATTAGAAGGTCTGCATTATGTCTTCCACCAATTTTGCAATTTTTAAAGCTCATTGCATAATCTGTATCATAGATCACGTGATAAATATCTAGGTAATGCATTCTTATAAAGTCAGTGCACCTGTGCAAAGTCGACAGTATAAAGAAGCACTTCGAAGTGTAAACGTACCTGTGAGCCGCACAGATTGAATTCTTTTCTGGCTTACCAATTCCATATTAAGTTGGTATTCTCGTGCATGCCAAAATCAGTTTTGCATTCGAATTCGAATCAGACTTAAGAAAAAATAGCTATCAGCGCGATAAGGTTTTTGTTTAAGTGTATCTAGGAGTAAGATTTCTGCACGATAATTATTACGCAAAGTAGGTTATTAATAACATTTTTTTCCATCGCATCATTGCGAGTAGGTAGGTAATTCTCGCCGCTATAAAAAGTACATCACTGGTGTGTTGTAAATAGGTAAGGTAAGCACTTTCAGATTCACTCGGTAATTACCTATACCCCCATTCAAACTTTTTTTTTTGGTGACTATGGCCAAATACGAAATTGTTGGCGAATTTCAAAAGAACGTTAAAAGGTTCGCATTAAGGGGGCGTACAATAGAATTCAAAATCAAAGACGTTCCACCCAATGAAAACACAGTGTTGTGGATCAAAACAGCCATCAACCAAATAATCTCTTATATATGCACTGACGTTTCTCCTTCTGATATGATCGGGTTTAATTTTTGTTCTAAAAAGTTTTCGCGAGGGGGAGGGTACTTACGATTCCAGCCTGCCGAATCGGTATCTTTTGAAGATATTTGGGGATTAATTTCGAGCATTTATCAATCTAATTCAGCTGGTTTAAGTACGGAAACCTTCTGTTTGGAGGCTACAATTATCCGGGTGCCATCCGGCAAAGGTAGGATTAAGGCGGGTAACTACAACAATTTTGAGGAAGAATGTTCTGCTCGAAAGGGGATTATTTCCATTAAAAATACAGATAACTTATGTTTACCCAGAGCTCTTGTTGTTGCCATAGCTAAAGTCACGGGCGATTCTGGTTATGAGAACATAAGAAGAGATAGAGGTCATGTTCAGTTAAATAAGGCGAAACAGTTGATGCAGGAAGCTGAAGTATACATTGAGGCAAACGGTGGCGGAATACCCGAACTGAACAAATTCCAATCTTATTTTGGTAACAACTTTAAGATTGTGGTATATAATTTCGGTACTAAAGGGCGCGAAGTCATATTTGAAGGCAACTCAGACGCAAAGTTGACAATCAATCTATTATATTTTGAAAATCATTACAATGTTATTACTTCACTAACGTCGGCTTTTGTGTGCCGATATTATTGCGAACCTTGCCATATCCCCTATAACAATAAAGGGGGTCATATTTGTGCCAGTATTTGCATATCTTGTAAACGGTCCCCCGCATGTGATCGAGAGCTGATAATTAAATGCGCTGATTGCCGTAGGAATTTTGTCTCAAATTTATGTTTCAGTAACCATAAACTTCACTCGGGAAAAGAAGATAAATCGGTTTGTGAAAAATTTTTTAAATGTCGTACGTGCTACAAAATAGTTTTAGCCGGGCGAACTCACAGTTGTAATACAATTTATTGCAATATATGTCACCAAAACCGACCAAATAATCATCTTTGTTATATGCCCTTGGATTCCTCTTCACCAAAATTAACAGATTTCCTTTTTATTTTTTACGATTTAGAATGCACGCAAAACAAAACTGTATCTGATGGAAAATCTTTGCATGAACCAAATTTATGTGTTTTCAATCAGAGGTGCGAAGTATGCATCGATTATCCAATCGAGAAAGTTGTTTGCAGAAAGTGTGGTGTACGTCAACAGGTATTAAATATGAGCAGCATAATTGAGACGTTTTTTCAACATATTTTAGAGATAAGAAAGAAGTTCAAACATGTAATAGTTTTGGCACACAATGGACAGGCTTACGACCATCAATTTATTTTGAATTATATTTTAACCAAAACTCAGTTCAAACCAGAATTAATTATGAGAGGTTCAAAAATAATTTCCCTGAGTATCAATAATGTGAAACTGTTAGACTCTTTGAACTATTTTCCCATGTCCCTCGCCAAGTTACCAAAAGCGTTCGGTTTAACAGACGATTTTCGAAAAGGATTTTTTCCGCATCACTTTAATACACCCGAAAATCAAAATTATGTAGGACCGTATCCCGATATGAAGTATTATAATCCAGATGCTATGAACACCGACGAAAGAGATAAATTTATTAGTTGGTACACCGAAAATAAAGACAACATCTTTGATATGCAAAAGGAAATTGTCTCTTATTGCATATCCGATGTAAATATATTAACGCTCGCCTGCCTGAAATTTCGAGAATTATTAATTAAATCCGGAAATGTGTGTCCGTATACAGAGGCATGTACGATTGCCA